TAAGTTATATAATGTCAGGAACGCAAAATGAAGAGCCACCTGCTATTTCGTCGAATATGTCATTTCATCTCATGCTTTAATCTCCTGGATTTAAAAGGAGCTCCACTTTATTTTAATAGAAGTGGATGTCATCCTGTACAACCCGATAGGCTTGTCACCTCCCGTCAGACTTTGAGACGCAACCTGTGAAAAACAGACAATCTGAAAGGTCCCAAGAGGTGAGAGCAGAGCCCAGGCCAGAGCGGATGACTTCCAGACATGAAGGCAGAGCAGGGCATTCTCAGGTTATTGAAGCACCTCGCTATTGGCAAGAGCTAAATGCTGCCCTTTCCCTTCCTATTATCAGGAAGACATGACTCAGGGGGGCAGATACTTGGTTGCTGCTCACTTGAGCAAAGTGCAATAGGGCTGAGTTAGCCCGTAGAATCTGACTGAAGTCCAAAGTGCTCATCCCAGTTCTGTGCCCTACAGCAATTCCTGTCACTGGAGTCCTCAGTCTCTCTTCTGTAGAAGATTGAGACCATCATCTGTGTTGCCTACGTCGCATGCTTCTTATGGGATCAAATGAGATAGCAGATAAGAAAGCTCTTTTATAAAAGCAGTCAGTGCAGTCAGTGCAGTCAGTGCAATAGAACCAAAGGGGGTTAATGAAGTAGAGGTAACTTTCATAGAAATAAAGACCAGGGGTCACCCGTTAGTCAGACAAACATTTCAAGTTGTTTTTCATGAACTGTGGGTGAATCTGTAACAATCTGTGCATCCTCTCTCAGGAAATCCCCACACGTGCTTATCATGGATGATCAAAGTCAGGAATTTGTTTTTGGTCATGAGGCAAAACAACACTAATTGTCCCTGTATTTAAACCTCTCATGGGGACAGAAAGAGTAATTTAGGAGCTAAATAATCCCAGGCTCAAGTCAGTTCAAGAGTTAACAATATTTTCATCATATCTATATCTATATCATCTATATCTATATCTATATCTATATCTATATCTATATCTATATCTATATATCTGTATCTGTATCTGTATCTGTATCTGTATCTATATCTATATCTATATCTATATCTATCTATATCATCTATATCTATATCTATATCTATATCTAAAAGCCTAAGCGACCAGCTGACCAGCCAGTAGCTATCATGCACAATAACCACCAGGGGCAGACACTCAACACAGGAGCTGCCAAACTGCGGTGACTTGGCAGCTGAGGTTCTCAGATGACATACCCAGAACCAGAGAAAAGAGAACCCAATTCTGGGATGCGTTACCTGAGAACTGCCCTCTCGCCATCTGGAACCACTTGGGGGATGTGAGAGAGCCAGTTTCAGTGCAATCCCTGCAGGTCAAGCTGAGGGAACCCACCAGTGCATGAATCCATGTAGCAGGCCTCTAGTATTAATAATAAAATGCCTTAGGAGTTGTCTATATTCATGATCTCTTTTGTGTACTGACTGCTCCTTCAAACTATTTGTCAAGGTCAACAAATGATCTTCAGACTGCTAAAGCCAACTGATCATTTTACCTTGTTGTGGTTAAACGCCTTACTTAAAGAGGCATCTTATTACCTGGCATCCTTCAGACAATTGACTATAGAGCAAAATGTTCCAAGATTCTGTTTATGAAAGAGAGATTGTTTGGCACTGCTAACGCATATTGTGTATTTTACCTGTTCAATATAATAGTCCTTCTAAGTAAAAATAAATAAAATAATAATAACAACAATAATAAAATAAAATAAATTTTAAAATGAGATATTCTTTCCTTAAAATTAGAACTCTCCTTTTCTAGGAATGTCGTGAGCTAAGATAATCTTATAGTGATTGCTAGAAGTTGAGGCTCTCTGAGGTCATGGGACTTGCCAGCCAGCATTATAGGATGGACATACCATTCAGTCATGACCTCCCAGGGCTGGAACTTTTGGTTCTTGGAAATTGTTTATCATGGAGTCTTCAAAAGTTGGTGGCTGAGCCTTATCTTCTGATGACATGGTCACTGTAGAGAAAAGTAGATCACCAGCTGGCTCCTAGGGGGAGAGAGAGAAAGAGAGAGAGAGAGAGAGAGAGAGAGAGAGAGAGAGAGAGAGAGAGAGAGAGAGAGAGAGAGAGAAAGGAGTGAGGAAGTATTAAAGTCAGGGAAGAGGGTCCCTAGAAAACTCTTAATTCACAGCTTTCCCCAGCCCAGCCCCAGGCACTTGGAATATCAAGAAATACCTTTTAACTCACAAAAGAAAGATTGTGTTCTAATAAATATAATTTCATTATTGTGTTTTTAAATAGCTAATTCTTAAGAAATGGGTAAGTTATAAATAATTATTTCTATAAATATCATATCTTTACACTAAAGCTTGGTTTTAGTAACTAGATGTGTTAGAAATCAAACCTTACTAATTTTGCTTTTGGTAATGATATATATATTGTTCATAGCATGAAAATTACATTTTAAACCATACAGTAAGGATCATAACCCCCATGTCAGAGTAGGGATGAATAAGATAATGTGCTTGGATTTAATAATTCCATTAATGACTGATGAGATCATCTTTAAGAACTTTTTTTTTAATTTGTGAGAGTACTTTTATCAAAGCTGGGGACAGTGAAACAAGAAAGGGCTTCTATCTAGGACAGAAGAAGCGATATGAAAGAGCTTGGGCAGGGCTGCTGGAAGCTCCCTGGAAAGTAAGAGAAAAGAGGACTTGGAGATAGATTCAGGGGGTTAGCCCAGGACGAGGTGCCACTGCCCCTTGTTCCCTTGGATGCAAGTCTTGTGGGGACTTTTAGAGTTTAGGAGAAAGAAAAAGGACATTTGAGTAGGCGTGCCCCAAGGAGGACCTGCCAATAATCTTTTCTTCAAAAGGATTCTGTAGAATTGACATGTTAGCTTTTAGGAAGGCAACAGTCAAAATAACTTAGCATACTGACTTTTGCAGATACTCATTCCAATCATCAAATTCTGGAAACTGAAGTAGTTAGAAGATAATTTCTGTTTTTACTTTCAAGGGAGGTGTCACTGTATGTAATTTTGAAGTGGGGTGGGGCACTGGCTAAGAAGAGATAAAGCAACCAAACCGATATAAAATAAACAAAACATATTTTATTGTGCATTAAAATTCATTCCCTAGACAATGGATAATGCACGCATTGGATGACATTAGTAGACATAGAAAAGATGCATTTGGACAATTACCAACATTGATGAACGTGGGGATGCCATAAACATTAAGCTTTATCAAGTTATTGGACTTCCTGAATATAATATTGGCAAAAAGAAACTTTCAACACAAAAACATTTAGTTTAATTTTTTTTTAAATGTCACTCATTTCATCTATCGACCTTGACAGCAACTAAAAATGAGGTACAGAAATTCCAGGAGTCTGAGTATGGCGCGGAAGTCCAAGGCACTTTGGAGCCCCATTATTTCCTTATTGAGTAGGATTAACTCAGTTATGAAACTCCCCATTCCCCAGGGTTTACTGCATAGAAAAGCACTATTCGCCCACCTCAATGAGGTGTTGTGGGGATTCATACTTATAAAGTGCTTCAGATGCCTTAGAAGAAAGGCAACATAGAAGTATGATTTTAGATATGTATTTCAAAAGAAATGAAAAAAAAATCAAACAAACAATTTTGGCACAATGGGAAGAGTGCCTCCTATCAATATTTAAAGAACCACACTTGGCTATTTATAAAAACTCATCACCTCAGTGGTTTCTTATTTGTTTGTTGTTTGTTTGTTTGTTTTAGTTGAGAGAATAAATGTTTCTGTGTTGCCAGTTTTACAACAGTCATTCTCAACCCCAAAGTTGTGTTATCAGAATCACATTAAAAATATAGATCCTTGGCCCACAGCCTAGACCTACAGAATTAGAGTCTCTCAAAGTGGTATTTTTTTTAAGGACCTATAGAATAATCTGATGAATACAAAAGTTTTAAAAACATTTATTTAGAAAAAATGGCAATGCATAAAACATCTATTTTCTTCCAGAACATTTTTTTCTTAAGAATGAATGAAGTTGAATCAGGGTATCAACTTCTTATTGCCTTTTCCTTTTCCCCTTCCCATGTCCTACACAGACTTAGAACACCATACACACACACACACACACACACACACACACACACACACACTTTTTAGTTCTGCCCTTGAATTAAAATGTGATAGTGGTAAAATCTGATAATAGCAAATAAACCGAGAAGATATGCAAGGACTAGCAATTCGTCCTCACTGTGCCCGAAGCAAATGGATGCTTCCCATTTGCCAGAACGGAATGGTTTAAATATGCATTTCCAAATTGGAAACAGGTAAAGTCAGCACTTCCTGGGAAACATCAGCTGAATGGATGCTGACTACAGACAACAGTAAGCGAGGTTCTAGCGGCGACCATGAAGAAAGGCTGTAGTGAGTGCTCTTCCACTTGGAGATCGCCTGCATCTCAGCGAACACCTTACGCTTGATGGGCATCAAATCTGTGGGTGCTTCATCAAGGTAAGTAAAACAGAATAATTAGAACCGGTGACTGTAATTTAAATCTCTTTTTTTTTTTGAAATGATCAGTTTGCTCCACTGCAATTCTTAATAGTGGTTTAGCAATCACTTTCATTTCTTGACTGGCCCAAAGTCTTCTATTCACTAGAGTCGAGTCCATAGCAGCAAGCACACACATCACATCATGCCACCTGCAGGTCTCAAACGGGAGAGCCCCCCTCTGGGTGCCTTGCAATGGAACGAATGGTGTCCACAGAGAAATTATTTCTTTAAACAGAAAAAGTCCTCTGAGGCTGGCCAAAATGTTTACAATGTAAAGAACTCAGGAATAATAGCAACACAGAATAGTCCTGCTTTTTGGGAAAAGGAAAAAAAAAAAACAGGGGGGAAAACTACAGGAGATAGAGGTACATAGAGAATAGGATATGCTTTAAAAAATCAGTCAGCGTCAGCCACGGAGTAATTTTGCTCTGAAAAAAAACCAGTCTCATACTGCCTTCCAATATTGCTCTAAACATTAGAGGCGACTTTGTACACAAAGGCTGCTGGAGCTGGCTTGGGGAGTTGCTTGTTGCGTGTTTCCCAGGGAGGCAAGGATGCCAGTAGCAGGATAAAACCTCCCAGCAGGACGCAGAAGCCACTGAAAAAAAATGCAATGTCATAGGTCTGGGTCCAGTCATAAAACCAACCTGGAGAGAGAGGAAGAAAAAAAATGAGTTTGATATAAATAGTATGACTATGAAGCCATCCTCTTAACTTCAGCAGTTTCATACACAGTTAGTATTAGAATATATATTCCATTTATTCTCAATGTAGATGGCCTGCTGGGAATTAGAAAAGGAGAATTTCTCAAAATTTGGACAAGAATAAGCAGGCATTTTGGTTTTCTCCCAAATAAAGAATAAACACAAATCCCTGAGCAAGAACATTGGCTTTGCAACTATAGCAAAGTGATTTTTGTTGTTGTTAATCCTCATCCGAGGATATTTTTCCATTGATTTTTAAGCGAGTGGAAAGGAGGGGAGAGATATCGGTGTGAGAGAGACTCATCGATAGGTTGCCTCCCATAAGCACTGTACCAGGGCCAGGGATTGAGTCTACAACGGAGGTACGTGCCCTTGATGGGAATCGAACCTAGGATCCTTCATTCTGTGGGTCGATGGTCCATCCACTGAGCCAAACCAGCGAGGGCAGCAAAGTGATTTTGAATAAATCATAATCATGACACTTCCCATGCAGATTTACTTTCGGCAAATCTGTGCTATTATTACAATCCGAATTTCTCTATCTGGGGAAGTCACAAAGGGAAGCAGTAAAATGGGTGACTTTAAGATAAATATCTTACCAACAATTGGTGGTCCAAGGCTATTTCCGAGTCCAGCAAAGAACATTAGTATCCCATAGGCATGGGCTAACTTTTCAATCCCCACAGTCTTTGTGGTCACATACGGGAAGATGGACCAATTGCCAGTAAGAAACCCTAGGATCCCAGAAAGTATGGCCAACATGACATACGTTTTGGCAAATGGAATAGCACACAAGGCCAGGCCCATGAGAATTAAGGTAGCTATGTAAAGATGTAAGGTATTAATCCTCTTGAAGTCAGCCAGTATCCCCAGCAGGAGTTTGCCAACGGCTGTCATAATGCCAATAATGGAAATCAGAGGCACCACAAACTCCTCTTCTTTCACATTTGAGCTTCTCGCGACGTCTTCCATAAGCAACGAAGGTGGGAACCCTCCAACGTCGAAAAGGAAGATAGCGATGAAGAGTGCCGAAAAGACTTTGTTTTTGAAGAGGGCCACCGTTTCCCCGCAATAGTTTTTATACAACTGCCACTTCCGCTTGGCAAGCTGTTTGCAGAAATATGTCTGTTCTGCCACTTTCTTTCTGTAGGTCTCCGTCTCCTTTGTGTGTGCCATGGCTGTTGGGTTCTGATGGAGGAGGCCGTCCTGCTTCCAGTCACCGTTGGCCAGCGTGCTCCTGCAGGTGTCCTCGCCCCCGTAGCTCTTTTCAAGGATGTTGATGCTTTCTTCCGGGTTCTTTTCTTTTTCGTTGTAGATGGAGTATCTATCTGGCACACTTTCCAGAGTTGTCTTCTCAGGCAAAGGGCAATCGGAGGTCGGGAGGGGTCTCATCAGGCTGCCGCAGGGTAATATGTTTAAAGCTAGAGCACCCACAATCAGCAGGCACCCATCCAGGCCGTAGAACTCAATCAGCAGCTTCTGCAGAGCAGCGTAGATAAAAAGTCCAACACTTGAACCTGAAAGGGAAACAGGACTGTTCAAACTTTTTTTAAATTGTATTTTATTGATTTTGTACAAAGAGGAAGGGAGAGAGATAGAGAGCCAGAAACATCGATGAGAGAGAGACATCGATCAGCTGCCTCTTGCACACCTCCTACTGGGGACATGCCCGCAACCAAGGTACATGCCCTTGACGTGGGGCTCTCAGGGGACAAGTATGATCGGCATCGCAGTGCAATTTCTTTTTTTCCACTGGCACTCGGGCGTGCCATTATGTGAAAAATCACAGCAAGAAGATGAAAGGTCATAACAATAATAGTAATCACAATGATAGGGTATTTATTTCAAGAAATAGCATCTGTAGTTCAGACAGTGTTCAGCACTTCACATTGCATGATCATGTTTAATCCTGATAATGATCATATTGTGTAGGGCCTATTATTATTCCAAACCTGAGGTGACCGAGGGCTAGAAAGGTTGAGAAATTTGCCGCAGGTTACAGAGCTGTAAATGGCATCAGTAGGAGGCACACTCAATCATTCTGACTCCTGGAGCCCATATTTTTAACAAATACCTTAAGCAACTACCTTTTTTGCACTTATTATGTCTCAGGCTCTGTGTTATATATTTATTCCCTTTGAACAAGTAAACACTCTTAATTTTTGAGCTACAGAATATATTTTAATTTTTATGGGATATTGGTCATGGTATGATAGTTCAAATCCATTGCTAAATCACCAGAATATGATGATTCACATTACTAAACTATGAAAAGAGTAAAGTGGAATTTGATAGGGTATTAAAAATCACAAAGTATGCCTAGTAAATTTTCCAGGATTTTCTGGTTGTTTTTTAAGCATAGATCACACTAAACATACTGGAACCTCATCGGCCGAATTAATTAGCGATGTTCTGATTTCAACTTTTTTTTTAAAAAATTGAGTATTTTAAAATTTAAATATCATTGAGAAATGTCACATGAAAAAGCAGGAGAGTAATAAATAGAACTGTTTTAAAAATAGGTAAATAGGTGAATCATACTTTTAAAATGATCCATACCAAACTACTCCATAATCCCAACAGGATGCCATGCTTGCAGCAAAAACCCATCTTATCAAATTTCTTACAAATAGCCAAATGATTCTCAGACTTGTAAAGAAGCATTTTCTTTGGGACCATAGTTACCCCTCTCTAACATTTTAGAAGTAAACTTTTTAATGCCCTCCCTAAAAATTCTTTGCATTAACATGTTAATAGCTCATATTGATGTAACGGCAGCTACAATAATATAATTTTGTGGCCAGTAAGATAGTATCTTCTTTGCTGACTATTGAAAAATAATAAGTAGACAAATGTAGTCCTCCCCTTATCTTTTTAAAAGTGACACTTACTTCCAAAGTTAAAAGCACTTCAGAAAACACACTGAAAGAATAGAAAACAGCACTATTTCACGTACTTCTGTACTACAGTAACCTCCATTCACTGTTAATTCACATTTTTGCCTAATACCATTTCTTTGTATAGATCCTAACAAAGTGCCATAACATCAGATACCTACAAATACAATACTCTTGGTGTTCTGCTAGTTCTGTATTTTGACCTTAAATTGAAAAAGATAAGCAACTTCTCCATTGCTCACCAACCAAGTTTAGCTCTCAACATCATGAAATATAAGAAAGACATGTTAAATTAATTCAAAATATATAAAATACGTATGTTGTGCTAAGTATAAGATAGGACAGCAGAGCCGAAACTGGTTTGGCTCAGTGAATAGAGCATCGGCCTGCGGACTGATGGGTCCCAGGTTCGATTCCTATCAAGGGCATGTACCTTGGTTGCGGGTACATCCCTAGTAGGGAGTGTGCAAGAGGCAGCTGATCAGTGACTCTCTCTCATTGGTGTTTCTAACTCTCTATCCCTCTCCCTTCCTCTCAGTAAAAAATCAATAAAATATATTTAAAAAAAAATAGGACAGCACAATCAAATTATACATTAGGCAGTAGTTTCCCCAGCCTTCATCTCACAAGAATGCAACCAAAGCTTAGAAAGATGCAGGAATTCTTTCAGGGCAATAACGAGTAATTCAGAGTTTTCTTGTGGAACTGTGTAAACTGAAAACTATAATTTTTAATTTTCAAAAAGAAAACCCTAAGTTAAAAATCATCAATGTAAATGGTGAAGTGAAATAAAGGATGAATTATGCTTCCATGCATGTCTAAGTTATATATATATTATCACAAAGAGTGAAGACAGTAATTGATGTTCAGTTACTGAAACAGTAAGAGAGACACTCATGCTTTGATTAACTATTAATACCCAGGATCAATAATCCTTTTCTATAAATGTTTAAGCCATAGAGGGCCATACAATCTCTGTCATAAATGCTCAGCTCTGCCCCGGAAGCATGAAAGGGACCAGAGAAGGTTTGTAAAGGAATGAGCATGGTTATGTTACAATAAAACTTGATTTATGAGCACTAACGTTTAAATTCCACATAATTTTCCCCATGCCTTAAGAAAATCTTCTTTTGATTTTTAAAAACTACACAAAAAATGCAAAAATCATTCTGAGCTTGTGCGCTGTCCAAATACAGGCAGTACACCAGACTCGGGCCACGGGCATTAAGTTTACCAACCTCAGTTCACTACAGAGCAAGCCCGAGTTCCCAAACCTTCATTTCATGCCCACGCTCCTTTCTTTCAACTCGGTCACAATACTGCAAGTATTTTCACTATTAATTTCTGTTCAACTTAAAAATATTCTACTGTGAGTTATATTTTGCTTGTCATCTCTTTCACTGAAGTTGGATGCTATAGTCTGAGTGTCTGTGTTCCCCAAAATTCATATCCTGAAACCTGGCCCGCAAGGTGATGATATTAGGAGGTGGGATTTATGGGAGGTGATTAGGTCATGATGGTGAAGCCCTTATGAATGGGATTAGTGCCCTTATAAAAGAGACCCCAGAGAGCTTCCTCTCCCCTTCGGCCATATGAGGATATAATGAGTTGATGACCTCTATGAACCAGAATGTGGGCCCTCAGTAGACACTGAATTTGCTGGTGTCTTGTTCTTAGACTTCCCAGCCTCCAGAACTATAAAAAAAAATTCTTTTGTTTATAAGCCGTCCAGTCTATGGTACTTTCTTATAGCAACCTGAACAGACTGTCAGTAGATCCAAGCTTCTCCCTAATCTAGCTCCCTGTGAGTTGACACTGCAAACTCTTTAATTCTGCAAGTCTTGACTGCCCATAGTAGCTCCATTTTTGCCTCCTCCCTAGACTGAGTGAAAAGTAGGAGCAGCTCTCTCAATAAACTATTTTCAACATATTCAGCACAAATAAATTTGGAGATTCAGGGAAACCTAGGTCATTATTATAATGGCTAATACTTTTAGAGCCCTTGCCATGTGTCTTACACAATTACTCTTTTAATATTCCCAATAACCTGATAGGACTCTTTTATTCCCATTTTATAGTTCAGAAAATTGAGACTTAACAGTTAACAAAGCCATTAACTAACTTGTCCATCAACAGACAGCTAGTGGATGTGACATAGGCAGGATTCAAAATCAGGTCTGTGCCTGTTGCTTTATTATAGTGCCTCTATAAAAAAAATATATAGGATAGGTTAAAATGTATTGTCCTTTAAGCTGCCATGCCTATTATTACACTCCCCACACTTTTGGGAGATCCTGTTGGGTCTTGGAAACTGCATTTCAACCATTCTGTATTCTTCATCTTGTTTTTTTCTATTTCTCTTTATTTTCCCATTTCCATCTTAGCCATGTCTTCAGATTCTGGCCATATCTCTCTTCGACACTATGATTCCCATTTCTCACCTGCCAATGCTTCTTTATTACATATATCAGAGAAGAAGGAAAAGGATAGTCAGAAACATCAATTATCTGCCTCTTGCACACCTCCCATTGGGGATATGCCCACAACCAAGGTACATGCCCTTGACTGGAATCGAACCCAGGACCCCTCAGTCCACAGGCCAATGCTCTATCCACTGAGCCAAACTGGCCAGGTCGCCAATGCTTCTTTAAACCACCTTGAGTAAATGTCCAGCTATATAGATGTAATTCCATCTGGAATCACTTTGTTGCCCTTGGATTGGCCTCAGGAACAAAACGTTAATTTGTGTGTGTTTTTGTTTGTTTTTTTCAAAACGTTAATTTGGATCCTGTTGTCAGATCTACTACTAAAGTTCTTCAACTTTTCTGAAAGCCTGGCTTCCCAGAAACACCCACTCACTAACAGGGAGTGTATGTAAATATACAGCTTTTAGTAAACTTGGCTGCTTTATCTCCTAACCAAACTCATAAATGATTGGCTACAAAAACTTTGATAAATTCCCTAAACAGCCTAGGGGGGAAAATCCAACTGAAAAATAAAGCAACACTTTAAAATATCAGAACCCAGAAACTTTTATATTTATATTCCCCACCCCCACAGTGATCATCTCTTGATTATTAAAGGAACAGCAAGAGTAAAGAGCCCGTCTTTGGCTGTGCACATAGGTCAGTGAGCTGTATTCATAAATCAGTCCTTTCTACTTTTTTTGTGTGGGAATTGTAAGTGTCACAGTAAGTGGAGGTCGAGAGCTATCAGCATCCGTCTTTCTGACAGTGTCACCATTTCTCTTCCTTTTCTCCTGTCTTTCTCGGGGATCAGGGGCTTAATATACCCGCTGTCCACTTCTTTCAGCAAGATTCTCACCAGCATGTGACTCTCAAATTTACTGAGCCCATCAGCTTTCTTTCCTATATGTGGATGGAGAAAAGGGTTTCTATGGAAAGTAATCTCACAGGGAGATCTCATCATAAATTCCTTACTGGGCTGGGCTGTCATTGCCCAGGCCTATAACTGTTTAGTAAAAGATTTATTTTTGCCTTAAGCAAGCCCTGTCCACAGTTGCTATGGCTCTAGGTTAACACACTTTTGAAATAAAGTTTTTCATCTGTATATCTTAGGCTTTTCTGAATGCTATGCCACATTTATGTGGAAAATAAAATTTCCTCATCGGAATAGTAGGGGGGGGGAATGGTGCTACCTGAGTGGTAGCTGGGAGTAGTTGGTTACACATATCTGTTTGCTAACTTTTAACTTTGATTAGAAGGCTGAATAGGGGCAATACTGTACTTATTTTGAAAATGTACCTGTTGAAATCAGGCCAAGTGCAAGGCCTCGGCGGCTGTCAAAATACTGGCACGTAATGGTCACTGTTGCAGTGTATAATAAACCACATCCGAGACCTAAATATAAGAAGACATTGTATAGATTAATTACAGATATTACTTCAATGCAAAAAAAAAAAAGGGGGGGGGGATAATTCCAATAGGGCATTCTGTCACCAACTGGCTAAAACTCTTCCAAGTATGAATTCCTGGATACATTCAATGTTACTCGTGCAGCTCCAGTGGACACAGTTATGTAGGCTCAGTTTTCACTCTACACACCCAAAGGTCAGGGACAAGTTGAAAAAAATAATCCAATTTATAAAGCATAAATGAATACTGCAAGTTTGAATTAAGATATTGTAGGGAGAGAAAATGGTTAAACCACACAGCAAATAGCAAAATTTAATCAAATGTGCCCATTTAATATCTCTGTCTCTCTTCCCAAGCTCTTGTCCTTTGCTCATTGTTTTTCCTCCTCTAAGTCCTCTAAACAATTTTATAAAATCCCTTTCATCATCCCAGCCTATTTTGCAAGAGCTTATAGCTTGCACACCTCAGTTTGCAAAACAAAGACCCTCAGGTATGTCCCTAGTTGTCTTCAGATTAACACATATCAGTAAAATGTATATTAGTTTTTGTCTTTTAGAGCTGCAAATTATTATAAACAAAAAAGGATTATGTCATAAATTTGACAAACTCAGTGACTGAAAAAACTGTATAAGGTGATCTGATCATAAATTTCTTTTTGGGCAGGTCATGGTAGGTAGTTAAGCACTAGGCATTTAACTTTCTTAGTAAAAGGTATATCTTTGCCTTAAGCCTTGACCATCCTACTTGTGCATTTAGGTTAACACATCTTTGAAATGCCAGAGTAATTCTCTTTTTCAGATTCCTCAAAGGTATAGCCATCCTCAAGGGAGCACACCATCTTGTTGCCTGAACACCATCTAGTTACTGTACCTGTTAAAATGTTAACTACCGTGTTTCCCCGAAAATAAGACCTAGCGCATGGAAAGATAAGACATCCCCTGAAAATAAGACCTAGCGAAACTTTGGGAGAAAAAATTAATATAAGACACTGTCTTATTTTTGGGGAAACAGGGTATCCCACCCACCAATGAAAAGGGAATATATACCTCTCATTTTTTAAAATATATATTTTATTGATTTTCTACAGAGAGTAGGGGAGAAGGATAGAGAGTTAGAAACATCAATGAGAGAGAAACATAGATCAGCTGCCTCCTGTACACCCTCTACTGGGGATGTGCCCGCAACCAAGGTGCATGCCCTTGACCGAAATTGAACGTGGAACCTTTCAGTCCACAGGCAGATGCTCTATCCACTAGGCCAAAAACGGTTAGGACTATACCTCTCTATTTTTTATCCAGCCTTGGAGATTTCTCCAACTTGCTTTCTCCCACCTTCTTTATCTACCACCAATAAATTTCATGTAATCTCCTTAAATTCCCTCCTTGGATTCCAAATACTGCAAAACTGTCATTCTTGGGAGCATTTTCTCAATCTCTTGAGATCTTATTTCTAGGCATGTCCTCCGTTTGGTTCAGATAAATTCTTCTATCAGTTTGGACATTCTCATAACAACATTACCTTCTTTAGAAGTAAAATGTCATGATGTCTTTTAGTTTTAAGTATCTTCACAGACACACACACAAAAAAGACAAAACAAAATGAAAGATTGATAATTATTAATGTTAGTGGCATATAGTTTTTTGTTATACTATTTTCTACTTTTCTGTAAATGTAAACTTCCCTTTCTTGGGACCCAAACTTCAATATTTATCTCCAGATCTCTTCCATGGCTCTGTTGATTAGCTTAAACTTTTCATCCCTATTAAGTACCTAATGATCTCAATTTGTTTTTCATAAAAATTCCCTCTGTCTTCTAACCCATAACTTTTTGCTTTTCATCTGCAACACCACCTGTTCTTAAGAATCGCTCTATAAATGACACATGAGCTACAATCTAAAAACTGAATTTTAACCATGGCTCATTAGATAAGTTATTAAGATCAATTTTATTACTTTTAATTGCTACCTGTACTATAATTAGAAAGAATGCCTAGACTTAACAAACATATCACACAACATTCTAGGAAATTAGCTCTTTAAATAACCCAGGACTCAGATGATCATCTTTGATTGCATAAAAAGTCTTCTTTAAAAAATGAGGTAGATTAAAACAATCACACTTAAATAAACCTTTTTAAATAAAGCATCCTTTCGTTTGAGTTCAGGGAAGAAATACTAACAACTAAGACAGGAGTTGGATTGGTTTATACAGAGTTATTACCACATATAGAACACTTTAAGACATGATATAAAACTTGTTTCTGGACAATCAATTTTGTGAAATAAAAAAAAAGTTACTCTTTACTAAGGAAGAGGGCTAAATTTACTTTCCTGTGATTTGGGTATTAGGGCTCTTATAAATGTTAGGCATTTAGAGACAAACACAACAAAAACATATCCAATTATTAAATGCCACTCTAGAAAAGTTGAAATAGCAACTCTAAACTTGTAATTTTGGCTAAAAATAAAGAAGTTTTTAAAAATTGTTTTAAAGCCATGGATATCAGATAAGATTATCTCACTTTAAAAAAAAAATGTAGCCGAAGCCGGTTTGGCTCAGTGGTAGAGCGTCAGTCTGCGGACTGAAGAGTCCCGGGTTCAATTCCGGTCAAGGGCATGTACCTTGGTTGCGGGCACATCCCCGGTAGGGGGTGTGCAAGAGGCAGCTGGTCGATGTTTCTCTCTCATCGATGTTTCTAGCTCTCTATCTCTCTCCCTTCCTCTCTGTAAAAAAAAAATCAATAATTATATATATATTTTAAAGTAGCATAAGTTTGAAATGCCTTTGTCTTTAAACTTTTTCCAAAAGCAAAAGGTGGCATGAGGTCTGTATCAGGATGATCTTAAATCAGCAGTTGTTAACGAGAGATCTCGAGAGTCCCTGAGATCTTCCATGGAGCCCGTAAAGTCAAAACTGTTTCAATAATAATACTAAAATGCCATCTGCTGCTGCTGTTTATTACATTGTGTTCATGTTTATGCTGATGGTCAGTAAAACTGCAAGAGCCTTAGCACTGGTGCCAAACTTTACACCTTCTATGCTTCACCATCACATGCTACAGTAAAAACAAACACATTTTTTTAAAAAATGCTTAGTCTGAATTATAATTGTTGCAAGGAAAGTGCTCATGTAATGGTTTTCTGAGTCAGCTAAAATAGCCACTTTTTCATGTAGCCTTGTTTATATTGGAAAGAATGTATGACAGACAAACTAGTTTACTCAGACATGGGTATTTGGCAGATGTTTCCTCAAAAACAAATTAATAAGGGAAGCAACTGACAGTCATTGTTACCAATGATAGAAATTCCAGCAAAAACAAGAATTTTGGAAATTTGTCTCTATCACCATGAAGTTGACAACTTCACTACATATATGGATTTTCTGATGAGCCGATTGGTGATGCTAACAAAAATCATTTTTAAGATGTTATATAATGAAATGTACCAACATTTTAAAATTATTGCATAACTCAACGAACTGATATTTTTCAAATAACCAATTTATGATGTTTCAAAATTAGGTTTGAATGCAGAGATCAAAGTACAGAATAAATGGATTTAATATAATAGGGCACAAAAGTCTACTGATGTGGTATCAGGTTCCAAATTGCAATTAACCTTTAGAAAATTATCCCTTACTGAGTGACAAAGAAGAATATCTACAATTACCTGAAAAGTTATTAAAATCTCATCCATTTTCCAAGTATACCTTTGTGTGAGACCAGATTTCCTTCATACACTTCAATCATAAAAACCTATTGCAACAATTGAGTACTGAGCAAATAGGAGGATGCAGGTGTCTTCTATGAAGCAAGACATCTACACTATTAAAAGAGAAACATGCAAATTTACTGTACTTTTACTATGCCTACCAGCCATGCCCACCAGCCAATCAGGAGTGAGTATGCAAATTAACCCAACCAAGATAGCTATGGCCACAGAGCAAGCAGGAAGCTTGGGTTTCCCCAGCAATGGATGAAGCCAAGCTTCCCGCCCACCCTAGTTGGCCCTGGCCCCCACTCAAGGCTGCAAAGTTTCAGTTATAAAAGATAAATAAATCCCAACAAAAATGGCAGCAGCCACAGAGCTGAAAAGAGCAGGAGGCTTGGGTTGCCCCCGGCGATGGAGGAATATAAATAAATTCCAATAAAAATGGCAGCAGTCATGGCGACTGCTGACACCCACTGCTTAAATGATCACCACCCCACTGCCTTTATGCACTGTCACTACCTCAGTTCACCTCATCATTTCTGATCTGAGCTATAGCCTCTCAATCTGTTTTAGCCTCTAGTACTTTTCCCACCATTCTACCTTCTAAACTGCTATCATTTAATTCTCATCACATCACACTCTTACAATAAAGTCCAAGCAAAACTCTTTATCACCAGCCTCTGTTACAATCATACTTTGACAGATTTGCAACTTCCCATATGACTTGTGCATTCATTAAACAAACATCCATGAGAAGACTGCACTCTATTTTTTGCCTCTGAGAATATGAACTCTTATTATGTCCTCTCCTACCACTCATTTCCTTTACAATCTGTGTCCACCTGACCACATCCTAATGTCCTTCAAATACTCAACTCAAGCCCAGCCAGTGTGGTTCAGTGGTTGAGTATAGACCTATTAACCAGGAGGTCACGGTTCGATTCCTAGTCCAGGCACATGATCCCAGTGTGGTGTATGCAAGAAGCAGCCAATCAATGATTCTCTCTCAATATTGATGTTTTAATCTCTCTCTCCTTCTCCTTTCCCCTCTGAAATCTATAAAAATATGTATGTTTTAAACTGTCTGTTAAAGTTGACATAAAAATTATGTTGTAGAAATATATTTATTGAATGGAAAAAGTTCATAAGTTTTCAAAATATATAAGCAGAATGAATACAACAATCATTTTCCTTTTATTTATGTATACATATCTATAATATTTATATGGTTATATAAATAAAAATATAAGAATATATTTTTTAAATTGAAAGTA